TTGCCATAGCAAAACAAAAAGGGTACACACTTGGGCAACTTGGCTTGCAACGCCACGACAAAAAAACTTTTAAGAGAATAGTCTAAAGGATCGGTGGCAAACTGCCAAATTATAATAAGACCCTCTTTGGATCCTAGAGTTGAATTCTATTCTAATAATCATAATTTTGGCACAAATCAATTAAGCTAATATAGTTATATGTGAAATATATTTGTATACTATTGTTTGCCATATGAGGGAGATACTTATGTGTTGCACTTCTACTGTAGAGAAGCGAGTCGAAGAGCGTGCTATAAGTTTCACATTAGAAACATATATATAATTGGGACCTATAGAATCGATTTCCATGTCTCACCCATGAATTTAAGAAAGGCTTATATCTGAACTTTGGGAAGTTGTGGAATGCCAAATTCCAAACCAAATAGCTTAGTCCATGATGTAGATTTCAATTCCTTTAAAATGAAGCAATCAAACAGCCTCTAAGAATAATTAAATGCTATAAGATAAGTTTGACCTTACTAAGTAACATGTAGCACGAGTGGTGCAAAGTCATACTATATTGTCTAATCAAACAGAATTTTTTATCCGTATATAATTTCAAAAGATGAACTCATCTGTCTAATTGTCATTTAGATGTAGCAAAAACAATGACGGAATTCATTCCCAAGGCTTTGCATTGGATGCACGCATCCAATGAGTTGAGGAATGTTGTCACCAATCGACCAAAAGGCGGAATCGTGTCGAGTGTACGTCGACGACCACCCTCCTAATCAGAGACGGATCTAGCAGGGGGAGGGGCTCAAGCCCCCTACCACCGCTGATCCCATGGAGCCCCCCAAAGCCCCTCCAAGAATTTTGCCATGGCTGCTTTGAGGAGAAAGGCTGGAGGTCGAAGATGAACTTTATTTCACCCTAGATCCATCAGTACTCCTAATTTCGACAAGGCTGACATGCTGACTATACTGCCATTATAGCTGCCCTGATCCGCTACGCTTAGTCACTTACTAGAATAAAAATCCTGACTAACTCATCGCCTAAGCTTCGCATCATCGGTGGAAGTCAGTATCTAGACCATGAGAGCTCACTACTAGTGCCTCTCTATAAATAATATGTAGGTCCATCAAATATTCTTCTTTACTTGTTGTCCGACGTTAGATAGCTAGCTACCGCTGTCCACACTGACAAAACTATCCCAATAGTCGGCGGTGAACCATGGCGGCGGTGGCGGCGCCGACGGCGCCGACGCCACTGGCGGTGCGCTTCGTTTGGCCACCGCCGGAGGAGGACTTGGCTCTCGCCTTGTTCGCATGCATCATTAAGCTTTTCAAGCTGCTGACACGAGAATGAGGGGCAGACGTACGCGATGATAGCAAGGTAGTAATCTCGACACATGTCATACACACAGTGACATGTGTCGAGATCGTGGAGGAATAGTGGATATGCTTCTCGAGGCAGTTTGGTGGTTTGGGCCTCAAAACCACCGGCGGATGGTTTTCGAGTTTGGGCCTCAAAAACCAATTGGAATTCCGGCGGGATCGGGAGGTGGGACATAGAGTCATCGCGAAACTTGCGTCGAGGCGAAGCAAAGTCGTAAAGAGCTCGTGGCCATCAGATGCTTGGATCTCAAGTTAGACCATTTTACCCCTAGGGTTAAGTCATTCAGCCAAAATATCTAAGGAATGTTAAGGGTTGTGTAATAGCTTTACAAATAAGAAGATGAATGCTCCTAACCAACCTATATAGTTTGGTCTTAGGTGCTAGTTGCAGTTTAAGCTTTCAGTTGTTGAGACCGCAGTGTAGAGACTGATTCCTCTGCTATGTTTTATCCATCCTCTATAAGAACCCGACCTCGATGATCTTCAATAAAGCAATCATTCATCAGAAGATCTGAGTCTATGTTCTTACTTTGAGTTGGTTTTGGTTTTTCTCTCTCGGTCTTCCTCTCTTTGCTCTTTTGGTGGATTTTGTTTTCCTTTGTTTTTTAGCATGGTTTGAGTGGGGGATACGTGCTCGGACCTCTAAACATTCTTGCCAAGTGGTTTGGGTAGAATCCTCACGAGCACGAAGATCCACCACTTGGAGGAATTCTTGAGAAAACCCCGTTTTCTTTGGTGTTTTTCAAATCTGAGTAGATTCTTCAGGGTGATGATCTCTTGGTGATAGCTCATAAGAATCCTAGGAACCCTTCTGCAATGTTTGAGATTTTTTGGAGCTTGCTTGAATTTATTTTGATTTTTTTCTGTCGAGATTTCTACTTAAATCTACAAAAACCAACCCAGACCGATTTGGGAAACTGGCCAAGACCGGTTTTTCAACTCGCTCCGATTGAGCTCATTTTTGTGGAGATCTTCTCTATGGTGTTATAAACTCCTCCAAGTTTTAAGTCTTTTCAAATTCATTTGATTGGATTTTGATTTTTCTCTCCTCCATGTGCTGAAATCTGAAAATCAACCTAAGCCGGTTTTGGAAACTAGTCTAGGTCGGGTTTTCAACCTTCTCTAATTGAGCTAATTTTTGGTGGAGATTTGTCACAATGTTTTAAAACTCTCCACAAAATTCCATAATCTTTGGACATCGTTTGGTCAGTGTTTTGTGTTTTGAGCACTTGGTGGGCCGTGTTGGGACAGCAGCCGAAATCAAAAGAAAATTAGATTAGGCTCCCATTCACCCTCTCCTCTAGTCACCTTGCTCGGTCCTTCCTAAATAGAATAGGAAGTGAGAGAAGAGAAGTGATGGGATGGTAAGTTAGAGAAGGAAGACAAATATGTATGTAAATCTCCTTGGTTCGTCATTGATGGGAAATTTGTGCGCTTGGAGATGATCTAGATCTGCCAACTCACGCTCCTGGAACAGCCCTTCCCCATTTCACTTCTGTTGCCCAGGATCATCGACGCTCCAGATCACTCGTGATTGCCATTGGACGCTTCTCTTTGAGTCCCAAAGCCAAGGATGGTTGGTTCGTCGTGCAGGCGTGCACTACTGACAGCATAAATGTGATTTAGAATATCTTAGATCTGACGGGAATACATCTACGGGAGACAAGCTGTACCAAGTAGCATAGTTATTTTACTAACGGTTGGACCCATAAAAGATCGAACCAAAGCCTATACTGATTGGTTTATTTAAAAGACCGTCTGTACAATTAAACCGGTTTTACTGGCAGATTTTTCTACCGAACCGGTGAACCGGGGCGGTTTTTTAACTTGCCCAAAAATACCCTAGGTGTGCTCAGGAGAAGCTTATCTGTCAGGGGTGTTATCGGAAAAGTGTCAATGTGCCATTTAGGACTACTGTGGCGCGTGAGGAAGGGAAAATTTCCTCTTTTTCGTTCCTGGGCGCGTGACGGCGTGAGGGCTCTGGGCTCTGGCGGCGGCGCCTCGTGCATCGAGCTGCGGGTGCGGTCGGCGGTGAATCGAGCTGCTGCTGCGGACGGGCGGCTGCTGCGGCTGCGGCGGCCGGGTGGGGGCGGGCGGCGGCTGCGGGCTCCGGCCGCTGCGGGCGGGCGGCGACTGAGGGCAGGCCAGGCCAGGGGCGGGCGGCTGCTGTCTGGTGTCTGCTACTCTGCTCTGCTCCACGAGGACGGCAACGACTGTCTGCTCATATGCTTCTGCTGGTTGCTCTGGTCCACGAGAAGCGAGAACATGGCTAATGCCTAATGGTGAGCTATTGAGATTGAGCTTTCAAGTTTTAACTTTTAGGTTTTGGTCCAGTTCGCTTTGCTAAAAAGTCTGTTCACTGATTCGTCGTGAAAAAAAATACCGTTAGTTCCCTGATATTAGCCTGCTGTTATTGGATGATTGGTCATTGGTGAAGCTCTCAGCTCTCTGTCCAGACCTTATATTATCACGCACTTTGTATTTTGAATTTAAGACTATGTCATTCTATACTTACATGATGTATGATGTATGAATTGTACAATTAAATCAGTTGTTCCATCTGTCAGTTATTAAATTATATCATATATATAATATATACTGGTTTAATGTCAATTATTAATTATATATATATATAACTACTGTTCTGCAGCTGTTCATAGAATACTATATATATATATATATATATATATATATATATATATATATATAGTAGCCAGCTACAAAATAAGTTATTCAGTAGCCACCTCTATTTACGATAATTTTATATACTAATTTACGATAATGTTAATATGTATTTACGATAGTTGGGTTACTATAACACATGGGGATATTTACCATAACATTATAGTAAACCACTTAGTATGGAGTTACTATAATCTCGTAAATTAACATAGTAATTATCGTAACTCAAAGTGACTACAGAATAAGTTATTTTGTGGCCAATTATAGGGTAGTGTGTGTATATGTATATATATATAGAACTACTACCCTGTAGCTGTCTACAAAATAACTTATTCTGTAGCCACTTTGAGTTACGATAATTACTACGTTAATTTATGAGATTATAGTAACTTCATACTAGGTGGTTTACTATAATGTTATGGTAAATATCTCCATATCTTATAGTAACGTAACTATCGTAAATATGTATTGATATTATCGTAAATTATATATATATATATATATATATATATATATATATATATATATATATATATATATATATATATATATATATATATATATATATATATATACACACACACACACAGTTTCATTTGTGGCCGGTTCGATTTAACCGGTCCAAAACAATTGAGCCAGCGGTTTGAACCATTGAATCGACGGCTTCATCGGTCGATCTCCGATCCGATCCTAATAACTATGCCAAAAGTAGTTGGCAATTGGCACGTCCATTCATTCTATTTCCCACTACCTAAATCATCCGATTATGCACGTCGAGGACAGGTTTGCGCACTACCTAACGTGCTAGTGCAATCATAGTCTCCTGAATGCCTGCAAGTATCTATATGTCCTGGCCGCTCTCGCATAGTAAGCTCCACTGCGTCCGTCCCCTGCAAAACATCCAGAATAGAACCATCGATCGAGCTTGGTCGCTTGGCAGATATGGCGGCCAAGGGAGGTGAGCTGAAGCTGCTGGGCGTGTGGGACAGCCCGTACGTTAACAGGGTCCAAATCGTGCTCAACCTCAAGGGCCTCAGCTACGAGTACGTCGAGGAAGACCTCCTCAACAAGAGCCAGCTCCTTCTCACGTCCAACCCTGTGAACAAGAAGGTGCCCGTGCTCATCCACGACGGCAAGCCGATCGCCGAGTCGCAGGTCATCGTCCAGTACCTCGACGAGGTCTTCACCGGCACGGGCCCGTCGGTCCTCCCCGTCGACCCCTACGGCCGCGCCACCGCCCGCTTCTGGGCCGCCTTCGTCGACGATAAGGTACTACACGGCAACAAACATCACCTTCTTGTGTCTGTGTGGAGGGAAAAAAAAAGGATGCCTTGGGCCGGCGTACGTAGGTCGGGTCTCCATGGCACACCATCCTGTTCGCGCGGGAAGCCGAGAAGAAGGCGGATGCGGCGTCGCGGATCATCGTGGCGCTGGAGACGCTGGAGGGCGCGTTCAAGGACTGCTCCGGCGGGAAGGACTACTTCGGCGGCGACCGCTTCGGGTTCGTGGACGTGGTGCTGGGCAGCTACCTGGGGTGGTTCAAGGTGTTCGAGAAGATGGTCGGCGTCAGGGTCCTGGACAAGGAGAGGACGCCGCTCCTGGCCGCGTGGGGTCAGCGGTTCGCCGCCGCGGAAGCGGCGAAGGACGTCCTGCCGGATGACGTGGACAAGGTGCTCGAGTTCCTTCAGAAATTCCTGGACTAGGTGGGCGCCACCATGTGCTCCGGTGTCGAACTCCCAGTGTTTGATTTGGTCATTTTCAGCGTGCTGTTAATAGGCCGTTGGATGTTTCCCAGTTGATTTTCTAGAAGAAATATGGCCTGATTTTACCAGAGCTTCCAATTAGGGCCCAGGATGAATGAATTATTCAAGATTCTAGACCGGAACCAGCAGCAAAACCATGAAACGTTTCTGATTTCCTGTGGGCCAGAGGGTGCTTTCGGGTTTCGTATGGATTCTCTTCCATTTTTTTTTTTTTGCCTTCTTATGTGCTAAAAAAATTATATTTTCAGTTATAATTCTTTTTAGTTTTTAATGTAATAATAATTTAAAACAGATTGTATTTAAGTTGTTCTCTTCCCACAAATCAATTAGATTTTTAAGCATATAATAATTTATATGATTTTTAAGAAAAAATATTTTCTAAATCAGAATCTAACCTTGTAGCCAAATGGTCTCATCAAATAATTCTAATTTATCACCCGAAACGTTTCCTGAAACAATCTATACCCGAAATATTTCTATAAAAATCTGGATCCTTACATAATGCACTCTTAATTCCAAGAGTGAGTCTGTTGACCCCTGCATTTGCCATTGAGTCTAAAAACCCACTATCAAGAGGGTGGTATTCAGCCACGCCACCCTTTTTATTTCAGAAAAAGTCTATAAACACTATTTATAGATTATTAAATAAACACAAAAAATGTCTTGAAGCCACCACAAAATCAAGAAAAATCTTAGAAATATTTTTGTAACAAACGTTGAAATTAAAAAAATATTTATGGCTTTTGTAATTTTGTCTAGAAGCTTCTAAAAATTGATTGAGCTCTACAATACGAGAAAAATATCAAGCTATCCTTTCATACCCCTTGAATAATATGGTCATAGGATAAAATAAAGACCTATACTACTCTAAATGTCTCCCAGAAACAAATAACACTTAGAACAAATTCGTCCTTAACCTTCTCAAACATTATTTGAAAGCCAAAACAAATTGCATCATTATTATGGGCATGAAAAACATAACCGCCCAATCAATCAGTATCACTATGACCTCACTAAATAATGTCGATGCAAAATACATATTCGTCACAAAGATTGTATCGTTATTAATCATCAAAAATGAATTATGGGCCTAGATGCTTTCATTTATGAATTGGTCTTCATGCTAGATAGGTTAGGGTTTTAATCCATCAGGACCGGAGCATCTTGACTAGATAATTATTTTTAAAAGAAATGCATATTTAAGATCAAGAACAAACAACCCCATAGCTGGCCCTACCCTACCAAAAAAAGTGGCATCAAGATCATTTTGCTTATTTCTCCGTAACTAACTTTAGAGCAACTCCAAGAATCTATTTATATACAACCTGTCGGTGTTTTTGGACCACTGACGAGTAAATTTGCATTTACGCGACTGACTCGGATGGTGTGCTCGGAGAACAAACACAAGAGTTTATACTAGGTCGGGCGGAACGTCCCTATGTCCAGTTTGTTGCTGCTCGTGTTACCGACACTTGGTTTGCAGTAGGGGTTACAAATAGGCGAGAGAGGGAGAGGATCCCAAGTCTCTAGTGGAAGAAGTGAACGGGTGCTGAGAGCTCGCTTGCCGCTCAGCCATGTGCTCGTGTCGTGCTCTTATGTTTCTATCTTTATATCCAGATCTCGATCCCCCGATATGGGCGCCCTGCTTTCCCTTTTATAGGCGAAGGGAAAGCACGGGTTACAGAGAAGGAAAAGTAGAAAAATGGAGAGAGAGAAAGAAGGCTTACAGGGTCGTCGGGTCATTCTTCTCCTTCATGCGGGTACCGCTGATCCTGTAGAAGTCAACAGGGACGGCTCCATGTCGCGACCCTGTCTGTCACTGGTGCCATGCGTAGGCCTCATCTACCAGTCATAGTGTTCCACGTCGTGGTGAACTGACACGCATGTCAGCGTCCATATGAGGATTAGGTAGAACAGCACCGGCACGTCCGACACTGTTCTTGATGTGAATCCCCAGGTATGGCCTGTCATGGCCACGGATTACATTGAGGAGTGTCAGCCTCTTCCCTAGCGTCAGAGTTTTAACCCAGACCCATACACTTGGACCTAGAGTGGTTAGCGGCGGCATGGGTCCCCGTCGGACGAGACGGAAACCGCATCCTTGGGGTCGAGCGAGACGAAGCCCGTACCCAAGGGGACGGGCGAGACGGAGCCCGTGGCTCCGAGGTCGGGCGAGACGGAGCCCGCATCCTTAGGGTCGGGCGAGACGGAGCCCGCACCCAAGGGGGGAGCCCGCACCCTTGGGGTCGAGTGAGATCTTTTAATCACTACAGGAAGACCGAGCATCAGTGATAAAATGTGGTGGCGAAATCTTAATTTGTCACTGATTCCCATGTTATTAGTGGCCAAACTAATTTTCATCACTATTGCGTCGATTATTAGTGGCAAACTACTATATCGCCACAGGATGCACCTTCAGTGGCGAATTTAGTGATGAAACATTAATTTGTCACTAATAAATAGGTTAATTATGACTAAATATTTATTTCCTCACAGTTTTGCCATCTACCGGTGACAAAATATTATATCACCACACGGTTCAAGGTCAGTGAGAAAATGTTGTGGCAAAATTGTATTTTGCCACTATTTACCATCTTAATTGTGACTAAAAAATTTCCCCCCACTATTAGTACATTAATATGTGACAAAATTTTGCTTCGCCACATGGTAGCTGATGACTGAGAAATTTTTGTGGCAAAATATTCTTTTGTCACTTGTTACCAAGTTAATTGTGAGAAAATAAATTTTCTTGTTATATAATATTTATATTAGTGATAAAAACATGTGTTCCGTATGATAAATAATTAGTGGCAAATATTGTATTATCATGGGTCCCACTTGTCAGTCAAACTACACCTTATCTTCTTCCGTTTTCTGTAGCTGCAATTACTGGACGAGCAAAATCCACCTTATCTCCGGCCGCCCCCAAGCTTAGAGCTCCGCCAAGCGCTGACGAGGTCGCCCATAGTCGCCGGCCGTCGATGCCCTTGCCCATGGCTGCACCGAAGCTCGCATGTGCAGCGCTTAGCAAGCTCTCCCACGGCCGCAGCCACCTATCTCGACGAGTGTCTCCGGCCGCCCCCAGCTCGATGCTTCTGCTCCGCGCCGACGAGCTCGCCCATGGTCTCCGGCCATCCCCGCTCCCACCTGGATCCACCGAATCTCGCCTCGCACTCGACGAGCTCGCCCACGGTCGCCGCCGCCAATCTCGACGAGCTCGCAAAAGGTTGGATTCGCTGCGTCCCTGGCCGCGGCCATCTGCGCGCGAGGAGGAAGACGCCGAGCCACTTGCTCGCGCCGTACTGTGAGCCGGGTATGGTCATCTTGCGGGCGTCAACACGGGCAGGGATGCGGGCAGCCCGCTCAGGCGTGTGGCGGGCGGCCGTGTTTGGCGGGCGGTCGTAGCTCGGGCGTGTCCGTAGTGGAGCACTGGAGCTTCAGGGCCGCCTGTGCAGCTAGCGGCTCATGTGGCCAGGGACCTAACACTGCGGCTCATCCGAGGTCATAGGATTGGATAGTAAGCACTGTTGCTCTCCAGTTTAGATTATTTGATCAATTCACCATATTTGCCTATTCGATTCTCTGGAGTTTGAATGTAGGCTAGACACTGAATTGCCAAATGCCTTAGTGATGTTTAATTGGCATTGATTGGGCAATTGAACCTTGGTCATTGCATACGGGAAATGCCTTAGTTATGTTTAGTTACATAATACTAGTATATTATGTTGTAATTCTGTAATTGAAGTACAAATTAGACCTCTATTATCTTAGGTTTTAGTGACTTTATGTACCAGTTAATTTGGTTGTGGGAACAAAAAGACACAAGTTTGTCTTGTAGGGATCCAGAACGGAAGTAAAATTAGTGACCATGAATATATATCATATTACCAGGGCTTGGAAAACTGATAAGTATTAGGAAATAAAACATAGCTGAAAATGCCAGAGTGACCATGATATCCTAAATGCTTATTTGTTTGACACTACTGTGTAGTGTTTGTAAAGCAAGTGACCAAGGAGATGAAGCTGCATCTCATATATATATTCCTTTAGAAATTTCAGCTTCATTATCAGTTATTTGCTAGTCGTTATCTATTTATTCTTCCGATTCACTGTCTTCGTCATCTGAATCCATGTACTCACCACCTTCGCTGTCATCACTTTCAGATTCTTGTTGCTCATCTTCATCCTGAACGTCACCCTCGTAATGGAGTATCGGATTACCTTCCACAGCCACAGGCATACCTTCAGCTTCCGCTTCAACTTGAGGTGTGTCCAATATACTTGTGTCATCATCTTCTATTGTATTTGGATTCGGCACAGTTATTACTTCATTTTCTTGGCAAGCTTCAGGACTGGATTTACTTGATTTAGTAGTGGCATCTTCTTCATCAGTGGGAGGAGTGTCAAAATAATCACGAGGTTTAGTCTTTACCACGACATACCATTTTGGATCTTGAGTATCATTCACATAATATACTTGCTCTGCTTGCGAAGCCAAAACATATGGCTCATCTGTTGACAGCCTGCGAGTAGTATTTATCATTATGAACCCATACTTATCTTCTTTAACTCCCCTTGTTGTATGTACATCCCACCATTCACATTTAAAAAGAACAACCTTATGAGTCCCATATAAAAGCTCCACAATATCTGTCAAGACACCAAAGTAATCTTTGTTTCCAGTTCCTTCATCGCCCTTGACAAATACTCCACTGTTTTGTGCTTGAAATAGGGCGTCTCTGTCCCTTGTGTTAAATCTCCATCCATTGACCATATAACTTGAGAAATGTGTCACTCTAGTATCGGGTCCTCTTGCTAGATCAAACAATTCATCAGAAACAGAAGGATCTCCTTTGGAATACATAGTTGATATCTACATGAAGCACAGTAGTTAATGAAGCTACCCTAAAGAAATAATGTAATAAATACATCCTTATACT